TAGACTAGAAACAACTGACAGCAGAAAAGTGGCTTGTAAGTCAATAAATTAAAGGTCTGGGATTAGAACCCAGGGTTTCTTCCTTTTAACTCAGACTCTTCATATTCCAGAACTGAGTAACTCTACATGAGACATACATTAATAGTGCATACAAAAGGACTTTTAAGAATTTGACTGGACTCATAGAGGAGATTTTCATGAAGTCTCAAAAGTAGGAAAGGTTGAGATTGGGTAGAGGGCAAAGACACTACATGTGTTCTGTGTTTACTGACAGGAGATGGAGGTGAGATGAGAAATAAAGAAGTCCTAGTGGCTGAAATATCACCACACCATGCAATGCCCGCATTTCATTTTACTGTGCATGCTATGTGGAGTTTCCATGTACCTCTAGGTGACCAGAGATTGGGAGATAAGTAAGAACCACTGACCTCAGGGAGAAAACAAACACAAAAGCCTTTACAGTGCATTGGCCAAGAACATCTTTTGGTTTTCTAGCCAAAGAAATGAAAGCCAAGAGTTATTAATGAAAATGACATCACCTTCTTTTATAGAAATGGATAAATGAAAGCTAGTCATACATACTGATAACAAATATTTTGATTATTTCTTAAAATGTCTCTCAAACCAAAAGATTGAATTCAAGATCCTTCACCTTTTGAAACACATTTTTCCATATTCACATGTCTTCTCTTTTACTCCATGGATTACATTATGCTGTGTTGCAGCACTTTAGCTACGATGAGACTACATTTCCCAGAATCCCCTTCCCATGCAGTTCCAAGTTATCGTTTTCGGGAAGACAAATCTGCATGAGTTTGGAAGCCCAAAGTAAACCCCCAAGTCAAGCTTGCTGGTTGGTGCAAGGCCCTCAATATCACTGTAGCTGAACCACCATGCCGTACTGGGAAACAGAAAATTTGGCTAGGTCTGCTTTTAGAACTTCTCCAAGGCCAAGGCCAAGCACAGGAGAAACACAGCCATTTCTCTGCAGATGGCTGGTGTCCTCAGAGCTGATGGGGGAAAACATGCAGGCAGGCTGCAGTTTCTTCCCACACACTCCTAGTTTGCTATGGCAAGTTCAGTTGATTTTGCTCCTGCCAATCTGATTTAAGCTTCTCTTCTGCCCTGCAGATATTCCAGTCCACGATTAAATAAAGAGGCCACAGCCTTGCACAGATGTCTCTACTAGCTTCCATCCAGGGCCCTGATTGCTAAGTCTTTTCCTTTTCCTCTCCCTAGCCTTTGCTTCTTCAGCTTCTCCCAGTTATAGGCTATCTGACCCCTACAAGACATTCATTACAGGCTGGGGTTAAAGCATCTACAATCCCAGGGTTTGTATGATAAGATGCAAGGTAGAGGCAGGAAGAGAATCCCAAGATGCTCATGGATCAGATATCTTGCAATATGCAACTGCAAAAATAACCAAGAGATTCTGTTTCAAACAAAATAGAAGGCAGAGGCTGCCATCCAAGGTTGTCCTCTAACCTCTACATGCATGCTGTGACATACATGGACCAGCACTCACACACAAGAATGCAAGAACACATGTGAATACATGCACATACATTACACACACACACACACACACACACACACACACACACACACACACAGTGGTAGGATATAATTTAAAAAGATCTGTTTATCGCCCAGAGTGATCACCCTCTACTGCAACTACCTACATGGCCATAGATGACCCAGGTCCTTCTCCACCTGACATTCCTTTCGCTGGCTGTACCGTGCACACTGTACTTATTCTATAGGGATCACTAGTTACTAGTAAAGGATGGTGACATTTTAAATGCATCTCAGTATTTAAACAGTCATTGTGACAAAGGAGGAGTCAATGTTAAAGTGTAGCCTAATGGAAGGTCTGGGAAGCTGTAGGCTCCCAGAGCCTGACCTGGAGCATCACCACAGCACCAAGAACTACACAGCTCCAGCTAGGAAGAAGGGAGAAAGAAAGAAAGAAAGAAAGAAAGAAAGAAAGAAAGAAAGAAAGAAAGAAAGAAAGAAAGAAAGAAAGAAAGGAAGGAAGGAAGGAAGGAAGGAAGGAAGGAAGGAAGGAAGGAAGATAGAAAGAAAGATAGAAAGAAAGAAAGAAAGAAAGAAAGAAAGAAAGAAAGAGGAAGGGAGAGAAAAGAAGGAAGAGAGAGAAAGAAAGAGAGAGAGAGAAGGAGGGGGAGGGAGGGAAAGAAGGAAGGAAGGAAGGAAGGAAGGAAGAGAGAGAGAGAAAGAGAAAGAAAGGTCTAGCTTCTTTAATCTTTTGTTGTTTTTTGTCTTTGTTATATCAGTAGAACTTGAATTCTAACTGATGCACATGTTCAATATTTTCTTAAGTTCAGTTATCAAAGTAAATGTATATCAAAGACTTTTTTAAAAAAATTATTATTCTCTTTTTTTTCTGGCATACATTGCCTTAGAAAAAGCATACACTTACCTACCTATAGCAGAACTTCAGAAGAGAGGGACTATATGTCTGTTAGGGGCAGGGGTGAGTGGTGTTACAGTGGCTGCTTTGCCAGCCCAATGAAAGGATGATGTACTATTTTCATTCACTCTTACTTCTCATGCCTGGACAGGCTTTGCTCATGTCAAAATGCACAGTCACTCAGGGCTTCACTCACTCCCTACTTAGATTGATTCCAAAAGTTCAATATCAATGACTCTCTTATGATACTATGTAACCAAAACATCAACTCTTTCAACTGAAGAGCTAAGTTAAAACCACAAGGGCAGATCTGTTTTATGCTTTTTCCCCTCTCAGATTCCTCCCTTGATATTTCACAGAATTGGATAAAAAAAAATAGCTACATAGCTATATAAAAGAAACATTTTAGTTTCACTAGGACAAAAGATTCTAGCAAAGAAAACCAGCAGCTTGATAACCACCATGTAAACGTTTATCAGATGAACAAATCTCACTGTACTTGCTTATACAGAAAAGTCTTACAAAACAAGGTCAGGTTGTTCTTTGGTGTATGATAACAGCCATTCCTTATTCTCCTGTAGAATATGAAGCCTTTCTTCAAATAAAAATATACAAATGATGGTTCACCAGCTGTCATTAAAGAACCAGAGCAGTCCCAGAAGTATACTGTGGGTGAACAACTGTCTGAAAACAAGCTGTATACTGTGTCTTAATACACAGGATCAAGAATGAGACAGACTAATCAGAGGCTAGGGTATAGTAATGTTTACTCTATCTGCCCCTTTACAGCATATATGGGGAAATCTACCTACCTATGGTGCCAGAAGATGGCCTCCTTCTGGCTACCCAACCTAGTTACAGCTGCTTAGTCCTGAATTGCCACAGCTGACTGGGCACAGTGCAGGGTCCACCGGATCCCTTCCTTCCTACCTGTCTAGAATTTGGGAAAAAAAATCACACCTAGAAACTGATATTTTAGAAGTGGGTGTAAAACTTAAATAATGAGGTAGTAGAATTAGGGCAGGAGAGGCTATAGCAGCACGTTCAAGAGTATTAATTGACTGGGATCAAGCAGGCCACCTCTGCTGACTGATGATAAGAGGCCAACACAGGGAACGTACCGTAGGCTAGTCAACAAGTCTCCTGGAAGATGAGAACAAGGTCTGATCTGTTCATGACTGTTTCCCAGCATTGAGCATGGCTCCTGGTCAGTAAAAATCAAGTCCCCTGACAGACATCACCTAACACATAGTTAATGAGTTAGCAGTGGATGGCTAGAGCATGCCTTCTTTCTAGAATGCCCTCCACATAGTGCCAAGCACCGATATTTCTCAACAGAATCGCTTCTTCAGCGGGAAGCCTCTGTGTGCCTCTTGGTCTGGGACTGTCAGCAGTTCCTTTTATTAGAGAAGACTTATCACCTTGATCCTTATAGGTAGTTTGAAAATTAACGCCACTAAATGGCGGGATTGAAGAGGGGTGAAAAGAGGGAGGAGAAAGAGAGAAAGGCAAGGAGAGAGATGTGAGTTGTAAGATGAGAGAATCTGAGATGGGAGTGTTATAAAACACTACCCTTTATTTTAAGCATTTTTTCCCCAGTGACATGTACAAAAGGCCTTCCACAACCCCCCCCCCTACAAAAAGGTTGAGACTTATTATGAGACCAAAGACTACAGAACAGAAATAAACTACCTTAGCAAGTCTGTCTCTGAGTTCAAACAGTCCAAGTCTAGAAAACAAAAGAACCTTAGGCCCCTGTAAATTACCCACTTACATTGTGTTATATGGGACTAACCACACCTTCAAATTCCCATTTAGTGAAAGAGCATGAAATTCCCCCAGAAAGTTGCTCTAGTAAATAAAATTTACTCAAAGAAATAATAAATTCTTCTTCCTATCTCATAATTTGCTTCTTATTAATTATCCTGGAATGCACCAATCATTGTACCTTTCAGAAAACTGGAACACTTAGTTGTTTTTCCTTTCACCCAAAAAGAGATTTATGGAACACAATGTAACCTCAATAAAGTTGCACTCATAAAACAATATAATACCTTTGAGCAGTGAATTCCTTTCCAGGTCTGATTCACCCCAGGTCAATTATGCTAAAGTATGCTCATATGTGAGAACAGTGATGAGTATCTAATCCTTTGAACAAATATGGGCTTTGTGCTTTTCAGAAGCAAGTACACACCGGGCACATTTTCCACCTTTGCAGAACCTCAGGTACCACTTATATGCTCATTGGCTTCTTGTACGTACACGTAACAAAAATTCTATCTGAGTAGATTGCTTGAATGGATTAAAGGCCATGCAAGATGATCATCAATGAAACAGCAAAGGAATAAGAAATGAAGCACTGCCGGGTGGTGGAGGTGCACACCTATAATCCCAGCACTCGGGAGGCAGAGGCAGGAGCATCTCTGTGAGTTCGAGGCCAGCCTGTTCTACAAAGAGAGCTCCAGAGCAATCTCCAAAGCTACAGAGAAACCCTGTCTCGAAAAACCATAATAAATAAATAAATAAATAAATAAATAAATAAATAAATAAATAAATAAATACTACTTACTGGGTCCTAGACCAATTGAAAAAGCAGCAACATAAACAAGCAAGCTGGCCAAGGACAGCCATTTGTAGGCAGCTGGGACAACTGCAGGGTCTGTGACTATCTGGTGTTCAGTTTGGCTCAGTCCAGCATTTGGTAAAGATGTGACAGTCAATTCCCCTTTCTGTTCCATTCCATCTTCCATGGGCACAAATGAGCCCCTGCTGTGGGGAGTGACTCCTTTAATGTGTTCCCTGAGACTGCTGTTGCTAGTTGACAGGTTCCCTGTTGCGTAGAACACAGGCTCCTCCAGGGACTGATTAAGAGGACTATGGCTTCTGCAGATATTGGTGAAATTCATGTTGATGTTGAGATTCACAATGCCCATGGTCAACAAGGAAGCAGCCATCACAGAGGAGCCAATGCAGAGGAACGTTTTGCTACCAACATGGTCCACAAGGAGGGTTGCTGGGATGGTGCTAACCACCTTGACCACTCCAACCCCAGTGGAGGCGAGGCTAGCTGCCTCATTGCTTTGGAAGCCAACAGACTTCAAAACAGTTGATGCATAGAATAGTATGTTTGGCTGGCCAGTGGTTTGTACAAAAAATACTAGCGTCAGGCCTATCATGATTCGAGTCCTCATGTTGTCCTTGGAGCGAAACAGATCCCAGAAACTATACTGATATTCATCTTTCAAGGAAGATTTGATCAAAGTGAGCTCTTCCGTGGTGTCTGAGATCACTCTTAACTTCCTGAGAACTTTGCCAGCAGCCTCCTCCTGTCCTTTCATCACCAGAAACCGAGGACTAGGAGGAAGAAAGTACATTGCAATTGCTTGCAAAAGCCCCAAGGGAATCACAAGACCAAACATATACTTCCAACCATTGGAGACATTGGCAAATGCGTAATTTGAAATATAGGCAAAAAGGATTCCGATGACAATCATCAGCTCATTCAGTGACACAAGAAGGCCTCTTCTGTGTTGGGGAGCGATCTCTGCAATGTACACACAAGTGGCAATAGATGACAAGGAAATGGAAACCCCTATAGCGATGCGTCCCATGATGAGAACCATGTAGGACAAACTCATTATCAAGACCAAGCTTCCCAGTCCTAGAAGACAGGATGACAGCATGATGGTGAGCCTTCTTCCATACCTGTCTATCAGCACGCCCCCAGTGAGAGAGGCCAGGAAGGCCCCAATGAGGAGGGAGCTCACAACCATTTCCTGCTCATGGCAGGTCAGGGCTAATAGGGTTCTGATCTGAAGGAGAGCTCCAGAGATGAGTCCAAGTTCATAACCCACCAGGAGGCCGCTGATGGCTGCAGTGACAGATGTCAGGAAGGTAAACATGCTGCAACCTACAAGCAGAAAAGGGAAACCATGAAGTCAGTCCGGAGAGGTTATTCCAAACCTGCCATATCCAAATGGAGATTTACCTTTGGGTAAGACTTTCATAACATTGACTTTAGACGTGCATACACACAACCATGGTAAAGTAATATGTCATGGTAAAGTAATATACTAGCCAAAAAAATGATAATTAACAGAAGGCAAAATCATTTTTTTCTGTGTTGTTTAGAAAGGGAGTCATGTAGGCATTTATGAAGTCTGGCTTCCTGCTGGCCAGGATGTTGGTGTTGTTTTTAGTCAAGAGTTAGTAGCTACTCAAGATAAGCAGCTGGCAGATGATAAAGACTAAACAAAAAGGTTAGCAGCTAGTGTGTACCTTTGGCATTGGATTAGATGTCCTGATAGTCTGGTTGTCGAAGCCCAACCCAGTTCTCTAAAGACAAACCTTTGAGGGCAGATAGGAGGGAAGGGACGTCTAGAAGGAGGTGTAGGTTCCTGGCTATGTGGAGCCCCATAGAAACCAGCCCCTGAGGCTCTTGCCTTCATTCCTCAGTGACCACCATCAGGCTGTACTTGGCCTTTGCTACAGGAGTCTTTGAACAAGGAATAGAGGTGAGAGAAGGAGGTGGATGAGTGCTTGAATAAAGGCAAGGTTGTGTTAGAGATAAGGAAGGGAAAAACACATTAGGACAAACAGCCCACAATGCCTGTTGCTCATGAGAGGAAGAAGAAAGGCGGAATGCAACAGAGGGGAACAAAGGAGAATTGGGATTCTTTTTAATGTAAAACCTAGGGAAAAGGGGAGAAAGTGAACAGTTATTACTTTTCAGTAATGGGTATACAGATATGCACACGCACACATGGACATACACATGTCTATGTATCTTTGCAATGTGACAAGACCAAAAGAGAACACACAGAAAGTGGTGGCAGGGGTTATATATTGTGACAGCCATTTCTAGGACAGGACAGAGAAGCTCTCGTCATGTCTACGGTACAGCATACATTGTATATGACACATGAGCCTGCCAGTAGGGAAAGGCAGAGAATTTAGATAGTTACAGAGGAGCCCCGTGTGTAGGGTAGAATTCATGGGGGACACCTTTCATTGTGTTCTAAGGACAACGGCTACACACCCACTGAGCAAGTCAAAAAAGCATGAGCATCACAGCTTTCTTGACTTGGGAGGTGCTAATGCTCTGTAGAGAGACTGGGTCTCCAAGGGCCAAAACTGGTCACTGGTCCCAAGGACATCACTGACAAGAGATGATGTTAGCTCAGACTTGAATGCTCAGGTGCAACTGAAGACAAGTAAACAAATACAAGACTTCCTGTCAAGCCAAACAAGTGCCCACGGTTGTAACTTCTCGTGAATTGAGGTGAACTAAGCAAGTGGGTTGGTACCTCAAGTGCTGCTTTGGCTGAACAGTTCTAGGGGGTACTTCTATAACACTCAATATACATATGCATGTTTATATAGACTGCCTGGTACAGCATACCCTTCTAGGGACGGTCAGGAACAGACCTGTTTGTGTGTAGTAACAAGAGAGATGAACATCAGAAGCTTCACTTTGGACTTACTAAAACGTTTTCTTCATTTCCCCTGTAAGATAATATCCAAGAGGGAAACCAAGTATTTGTCTATCTAAGGCACCTGGGCCAGATCAAGGCTGGAGAGATTAGCAACTATGATGTTTAAAACCACAGGAATAAGTGAAATCACTTAGGAAGACAGAATGCAGGAAAATAAGTGGGGCTAAGACTGGGACCTTGAGACCTCCAATACAAGGGCCAGGAACAAATGGGAAAGTGATAAAACTGGGCTGAATAGGCTGGGAACAAGAGCATGGGCACAGCTAGCGTAGGCTGAGGTAAGGCTATTTAACTCTGCCTGATTTTAGAAGTGAGCAGCGTGCCATTTAAGAATGTTATTCCACCTGGGCATAGTGGTGCGTGTCTTTAATCCCAGCACTTCGGAGGCAAAGGCAGGAAGATCTCTGTGAGTTCAAGGCCAACCTGGCCTACTTAGCTAGGGCTCCATAGAGGAACCCTGTCTCAAACAAATAAAACAAAAACAAAACTAAGCAAACAAACCAAAAAACTATTCAGCTTTCCTGAGGTAAATAGGTCAAATTAAGGTGACCTAATCACCTCACATCACAGACAGTCCAGGTATTCTCTCCCACCAGGACTTTAGTGGCATATGTGAAGGAGACAATTAAAAATAAATAAATAATCTGAGGCTGGTGGTGTAAGCCCATTGGTAGCATGTTTGCCTAGTATGCTCACAGTCCATGGTTCCATCCCTAGCATGCCATAAAAGCTGAGTTTGGTGCACATGCCTATAATCCTAGCACTCTGGAGGTGGAGGCAAGATGATCACAAGTTCAAGGTTATCGTTGGCTACATAGAGAATTCAAAGTCTGCCTGGGCTATAAAAGGTTATGTCTATAAATAAATAAATAAAACCACAAATAGTAAGATATTTGAGAATAATAATCCATCAAATAAGGCTAACTTGTAAGGATTGAACCATTAGACTAAAACTGAATTAGCAATTCACCTAGCCAGAAAATAACTATGAAGCACCATTACATAGCAGGCACTTTTCTCGGTGCCAAAATATACACAAATACACATACAGAGAGAGTGTGTGTGAAATAAAACAAATATGGTCTTGGCCTTCAAGAAATTTAACCACCTGGTGACATTTCTCTTATTTATTAAGTTTGTTTTGTTTTAGTATATACTTAGTCTCCTACAGATCCATCCTTGCCTTTGGTTTGCACACACACCTTTTCCCCAGATGGTTTTAAACATTCCCATCAGCAAATTCCTACACTGCAAAGAGAATCAGGTAAAATCCTCATAACTGGATAGGTACTCTCTCTCTCTCTCTCCTCTCTCTCTCTCTCTCTCTCTCTCTCTCTCTCTCTCTCTCTGTGTGTGTGTGTGTGTGTGTGTGTGTTGAAGTGTGGTGTGTACAAATGTTAAGAACAGAGGAAAACTTTTGGGAGTCAGTTCTCTCCTTCCATCTTGAGATATGGGGATGAAACTCAGGCTTTCAGGTTTGTGTGGCAAGTGCTTTTACCTGCTGAGATATCTTGCCAGCCCAAGAACATTGTATTAGCCATACTTACTTTAGCCATTACTCACTTTAACTGCTCTATGGACTTGGGTATGCATGTGTTTGTCAATTGGTAACTGGCCTTTGGTGTTCTGATGGATATGATTGTTAACTCTTGAGAATGAAATCTTGGAACCAGACTGAGTGAGGCAAAAAAAAAAAAAAAAAAAAAAAAAAAAAAAAAAAAAAAAAAGGTGTTCACAGTGACATGGGTAGCCAGGGACAAGTTAAGGATGTAGTGAAATTGACAGCTGAAACAGCTTAGGGAACAGACTGTCCCTGCCACCTTCCCTTTCCTTGCTTTTCCTTTTGGTAGAAGGGAAAGAGTGTTTTCCTACAAAGGGGACTTTTGGTGATCCCAGGCCTCCCTCCTCTAATGCTCTACTGTTCTGCCTTGCAGAGATCTTCAGGGGGTGGACAGGGTGGTAGCTTTGTGTGGTCTAGTCTGGGAAGAACTACTCCTTCCAAAAGAGGGGCCTGGCTCCTGCTGTTGCTTTCTGGACTTGGAAGATTTGCCTCTTTCCTAGCCAGGGCACAAAACACTGACAAACAGGGATATGTGTGGAGAGTCTGGAAGCCATCCCGGTTTGTCAGTGTCCTTGAGACCTGGAACAGAATACAATTGTTCAGAGAAGAATGACAGCATTTCTCTATGAGTGGTTGCAACATTTTGCTTTAACCTGTGTGCATCACAGCATATTATTCTCTCAGTGTCTATCATTCTATTTTATCTATCTCTGGCTAATTCACCATTAAAAGGATAAAACCTTTTAGTAGGCTATTCTATGACCTCAACCCTGTGGGGAGAGCTTACTAACAGTGGTAAGAATTAGGAACTTGGTTGTTTAAAACCTGCTATGTCCCCCCTTGTGTTCTTCGAGGAGCACTATCCCAAACTATTATTCTCACCTTATTGCTGAGACTTATGACAACTGAAGTTCTAGTTCAATCCTGAGGCTGTCCCATGGGGTTTTGAATTCTAGTTCAGTGTAAAATGCTTCCAAGATGGCCACCCATGCCTCTTCAAGACTTCACGCAGAGAACATTTCCTGGTACTGCTTTCTCATATAAAAGTCATGATGAAGAAAGACACGGAGTGGCCTTTTCTTGGGTCTACTTTTGGTTAATGATGATGATAGGAACAAAATGTTGTCCTATAGATGCCAGGAAGTAGACATAACTTTTCCAAGAAATCTGACCATGAACAGACTGAAATCAGATGCAGTCTGAAGTGATGGCAGGAGACAAAGTTTGTCAAAACACAAATGGAAGAGTTTGGAGGCAGCGGGATGGTTTGAGGAGAAGTAGCCAGGGCTACAGTGGAAAAGAAGAACACTCACCCAAAATTAATGTAAAAACAAAACCTCAACAACAACAAAAAACATTCCCTGACGTGGCGTTAGAAGCTTGCTTTCAGCATCCCAAAGCCCTGCTTCCAGCTTCCCTTTTTTTCACATCACTGTTCTTCATAAAAGTGCCACAGGGAATTCTCAGCTTTCTAAGCTGAGACAAGTGGAGGGTGGAAAATTGATGGCAGTCATGGAGACTTTCGGAACCCACAGGCTGTTGGGTTGCGCTTCTCCCGGTGTCTTCTGGCTACCTTGCAAGACCCACACCTGCATCCGAAAAATGTTGCTGCCTTTTGATGCAGTGAGGATTCCTTACCAAGGTGCTATGAAGATGAGATCACGAGGCCATATGCAAAGCAGTCTTAAGACCCACAGGGGCACACAGAGCGTAGTTGACAGGCGGCACTGGGCAGGGGACAGCAGCGCTGGCTGCCACAACAATAGCCGTACTGTCTCCGCTCTCGGTGAGTCACATGAAACCACGATTGTAGCCCACACTCAACATGAGATGCCCCATTTTCCACAATATTTG